TGGGCACAGTATGCACTGTGAGCCTGACACAGAAGCTGGCAGCAGTGGCAGACAACTGACTGCTATTCAATCTATAACAGTGAAAAAAGTTTTTTTTTTTAAATTCAAGCTATTGTGACACCAGATGTATTTGGTGGCACTGACTGGGGAAATGGGCACAGTATGCACTGTGAGCCTGACACAGAAGCTGGCAGCAGTGGAAGACAACTGACTGCTATTCAATCTATAACAGTGAAAAAAGTTTTTTGTTTTTAAATCCAAGCTATTGTGACACCAGATGCAATTGGTGGCACTGACTGGGGAAATGGGCACTGTGAGCCTGACACAGAAGCTGGCAGCAGTGGCAGACAACTAAGTGCATTTACATTAGATAGAAAAAAAAAATCCAAAAAAAGCATACCCTTATCCCTAACCTAGCTATGCTTTCCCCTATCTTATGAACAGCAGCTACACTTTCCCTCCTCTTACTAAGCATGCAGCTTGAGAATGAATCTAAAATGGATGCTGTCCAGTAGGTGGGAGGGTCTGCTAGGGAGGCTGTGCTGCTAATTGGCTGGAATGTGTCTGCTGACTGTGAGGTACAGGGTCAAAGTTTACTCCATGATGACGAATAGGGGGCGGGTCGAACCGCGCATATGTTCGCCCGCCGTGGCGAACGCGAACATGCTATGTTCGCCAGGAACCGTTCGCCGGCGAACCGTTCGGTACATCACTACACACAAATAATATTCTGACCAAGGAATTTCACTTTCGATAAAATACATTGTCATTAGGGAGGTATTTGTTCACCTCCCATGTGGTGTGATAGAAAGTACTTTAGCAAGGGGTAACTGTTATTTCACTTTAGAAAATTAAGATTTAAAGGGTTAATCAAAGCACCATGGCCATAAGTGGTTATGGTGCTTGCAATCTGTATATATATAATTTTGCTGTAGCACTGCACATATCCAATTTAATTGTTTCACTGCCAAGTATATAACTACATCTCTGGCAGCATCACTAGGGCGTCATTAGCCGGCCAAGAGCAAGAGTTCTTAGATCAGGGGTAGGCAACCTACGACACTGCAGATGTCGTGGACTACATCTACCATAATGCTCTTACATCCATAATGCTGGCAAAGCTTCATGGGGGATGTAGTCCACTACATCTGGAGTGTCTAAGGCTGCCTATCCAGAAGTGCGTTCCTATGCACAGAAGTGCGTTCGTTGGCTGGGAATCATAAATTGACGCTTTTTAGCCAATGAATGGACAGCTGAATCAACTTCCAGCTTCTGCATCTCTGCAGACCTTGGATGTTGTCACCAGCAAGAGAGAAGACCATGAGTCCAACGAGGAGACCGTTAAATGGTTTACCCCATTACCAGAATAGGAGACTTTGGAACTCCAGGCATTAGACCCATTACAGTGGGTAGACCTTTATCAATTATGGAATGTTGCTAATGTTACTAAATCCAGGATTGTAGCTACATGAAGGGGTATACGTGAAATAATGCTAAAATAAAAATCAATGAGGCTAAAGCAGTTAATAGCTCAAAACACTAGTTTTCCCGAGGCACACAGCACACAGAACATGTTTTTTTTAAATAAATCCAGTATGCCAGCACATACGTCATATCCCTAAATTTAGGCCATAGCACTTGGCAA